AAGAGTGAAATCAGAACTGAAATGAAGAAACATTCATTTCAGAAGAGAGGAAAATGCGCTTTAAACCTGAAAGAAATTATTTCAGGCGATTTATTCTGCATGGACTAGCTATGAAGGTTAATGAAGATGTTAGCATCATAAAAAGCACAGGAAAATGATGCGGAAGAAACTCAGAGGGGCATATCTGTGCTTCCAAATAAGATTCATTGTCCTGGTAGTTTTCCATGGGATGAGTTGCCAAAAGAAGAGCTAGCACGCAAGGTGAGACAGCAGATATGTCGGGGAGGGGGAAATATTGTATCCAAGGCTGATACGCAAATTTGTAATATACCGGTATAGAGGCAAAGTCACTGCCCAGACGAAGGGGGCACAGAACACACTCGGTTATTTCTCTCTGGCTGCTTCTTCGCTGTGAGGGTGGTTGAAAGGTACCTGAACTACTGGGATGGGACTTGTGGTGGCTTCTTTTCCAGTATTTCCCCTCTGGTCTTGCAGAATCCTTTAGCCTGGGCTTCTCAAGACAGACAGACGCTGTGTTAACAGCACTGTCCACCACAGTACTCTTAGCGGGGAACGGTTCCAGGTCCCACTCTGAATCAGAGGAGGGGGAAGATGCTGCCACAACTGCTGGTTGTTCTTGGTTTGGACCTTCCAGTTCTAGAAGGTGTGGAGAGGGCTTGCCGCTGGACTCTGCCTCTTCAGTTTCTCTCTGAAAGACCAGAGACCTGGATGGAAGCGGCCACCAAGCATCAACATGGGGATAGCAGCAGCAGATGCACCTTACATATGCTGACGAACAGCATATACCATCACAGTGATAGTGCAAACGTGGCCAGCAGGGTGAGCAGAGGAGGCAGTGCTTGGCAAGGCTATGTACAGCACAAACAGGAATCAAGGCTGTATTAGGACTGCAGGAAAAAGTACAAGAGTTAGCATCTGGACTTTCTCTGGGCTTCGCCCTGCTGGTGAAGGGCATGTGGATCATCTCTACAATCCTCTCCCACAGGCTAGGAGGGATCCACAGAGCCACACCTCGCTGGAGTTTCACTTTCTTGTCATTCCAGAACTGGATCATAATTTCTTCATCTTCTGAGGCTGTTGAGAGAAAAGGTAGCAGCCATAAGCAGCTGCCCTGCCTGGGCACTGCACATACCTGGATCAGGCTTTGCAGCTTTATGTACTTTCTACTCCTGTCAAGTGGTAGGATCGACTGTCATCCCTCTCTGTAACATCTCACCATACTGCCATGGAGGGCGGAGTGGGCAGATACGGCACCGTTGGTGTGACATCAGGCCTGGCAGCATCTTTCCTCCTAATGTGTCATCAGATGAACAAGAAAATGTTGACTGAGTAACTTTTGTTGTTACTGCCAAAGTTAACAGTAATGCTCCCAGAATAGTATTTTGATAAGTCAGTGGAGCTTGACTGTCAGACATGGGAAAAATGAATCAGCTGTTGAAATTCCTACATTCGGGTGATAAAATCACCCCCAGATGTACCATTTGGTACAAATGTGAGCATTCAAGCACAGGTGGGTGCTTCCTGAGAGCTGCCTCACTCGTATCCCTCAGGAAAAGGCCACTGTCCCTCACGTGGCAAACATAGCCTTGTCCGAGCAGACAGGAAACAGCACATCCACGGGCACGGAAAATGACGTATTTATGGGTCACAACTTCCTTAGGGTCAGACTGGTGAGGTTACACACAGATATCCATCAGCAAGTCCCACCAGCTCCTGCAAGCTTTATGCAACACTAAACTGTAGTCTGCACACAAGTGTTTCTCTGGCAATAGCACCGCAACAAGAGTTTATCCTGACAGTCTCATGTTCTGGAGTGAGGGAAGGAAGGAAAAGGCAGCATCTCTCTTACCTCGTAAGGGGTCCCTTGTCTCAATGCCCGTGAGGACGGTTCCTGGGCCGTACCTGGCCATATCTGACTCCCAGGGTGCCAACACTTTGTCTCCAGGGAGTAAGGAGTGCTTCATCCCGTTCACACATTCCAGGATGTCATCCTTTGCTGTTTTTTGCACACGCACTGGATGGCTTCCACGTGACACAAGTGGTTCGGCAAACTCTACCAGAAACATGCCTCTCTCACTCTGTTACCAGGAACAAAATAATAGTTTCTCTGAAAAACAGTCTGTAATGTGTCAGGACATGTAACGTTCACCAGGAGGCCATTTTGTGGCTGTGTGGCTAGGTCAAAACACCAAGCAAGCCTGAACAGTAACTGAATAGTGTGTGGTGTCAGTCCGGCATTGAGATAACCAGAAAAACCTACGTGAGGCTGACCAGAAAGCAGGCTGAGTGAAGCATGTGTACAGATTCACTGCCACTAGGATCTGTATTTTCTTCCCCAAGAGAAAAAGCTATAGAGTGCAACTGGATTTCACAAACCATGCCATGTGCACCAGATAACGAGGGGCACTGAAGGCGTTCAGAACTGTTCTTCAGTCATGCCCAAGTCCTTCCTCATTACATACACCACTAGCTCTGCTTCCTGGGGGGGGTGGGGGGTGTGTTGGGAAATTTTATTTTCTTTTAAATTAAGGCCTGTCAAGAGGCTTTTCATCAACAATGAAACAAGGTACTTCCGTGTTCTTGAGAAAGAATAGGCTCTTTTTTCTGTTAAGTTTGAAGTGCTAACAAACTAATGAATTAAAGCTTTCACCAACATTTCTGAAGAGACACCGAGCCATTGGTCTGAAGCTGACTCAAGCTGGAAGTGTGTACATAAAACACTAACGCTTTTCCTGCGTTATTGATGGTTATGTGTCTACACACAACAGTAGCCGGTACACCACTCACAACAGCACCCGCGCTGTCTGAGCCTGGCTCAACGCCCAGCGCCAGCAGAAGCAGAGGGCCTGCTCTCGCAAGATGCACAACAACGCTACTCTCACCAGGAATTTGGAGTTTGGGGGGAACCCACCTTCGGCACAAGATGAGGATCCGAGAAACGTGCCTGCTTACTCCTAGAAATGCACTCAGTAAAGGAAGCTGAGCAGAGCAAGGATCTGATCATTATTAATTTATTGGTGCCCGAGGCTGTGCAGCATCCAAGAGTCTCACTCGGCGTGCCAGGCAGCTGGAGGTGAGGACGGCCTGGAATCAGGCATGTCGGGAGCTCTACGAATCGACATCACCACCAGCAGCAGCACCAGCTGAAATCAAAACTGCTAAATTCAGGTTGTGCGTGAGGACTGCTGGTGGGCAGGACACCCTGTTACACATACGCACGACTACTGCACGGCAACCATCACTCACCTCTATCTCCTCTTTTACTGTACCACGGTAGTAAAATCCATCTTGTTCCCCTCTCACCAGCACAGGTACGTTGCAGCCTAAGCCCACTGATATCCCTGGTGCGCTCAGCCTCTTCCATGCTGGGCCAGGGGAGGGGACGCAGTGGCACCTTGAAGAAAAGAAAATGGGTCAGGCACTGGGAAAAACAGCTTCTGCAGGTCATAAAAAAATCTTGTAAGATTTAAGAACGGGATCACTCCACCACATTTTGTAGCACTCCCACAGGCCAAAGCATGTAATATAAAGAAATATAAAACTTGCTTGTGCTGGGAGAATTCCTTGCTCTTGGGGAAAAGAACATCAGTGCCTGGTTTTACCCGGATTTCTTTGGTTTTGGGTTTAGAGGAAGTGAGACAGGAGTATGCTGGAATCCTGGGCCAGCACTACCTGCACTAGCCCCGTTGCTGTTTACATGGCAAGCCACTGCCACCCTTAATATCAGGAGAAAGGATCTATCTCCAGCAGAGCACTGTAGCTGATGGTTTACACCAGGGCATCCAGGGAATAAGAGAAAAGTAGCAAAGCAAACAACAAAGCTGCTGGTTAATGACAGGTTCAAGTTCAAAACAGGGAAAAAAAATCCCCTGTCATAAAGCATTAGAAACATTTCACAGAAGGCAGCTGCTAACACAAGATGCTTTTATTTATCCAAGTGATATTAAAGGAATGTTTCTTTGCTAGGAGGTTTACTCAGGCATCGCTTTTCATAATCTACAGGGTAGCAAATCATTTTAGTTAATACCATCTAAAAAACTGTCAGTGCAGAAGAGGGGAAAGCTCTAATAAATTAGCAGCTTGAATATCATTTATCTGACACGCCAGCCTGTTTTATCCTATTAGATATCATGAAAAAACAAATTACAGACTCAAACAAGAACTTGATTTTACCTCTGGGGGGTGAGAGGCTCGGCGATCCAGGCGGGATGCACCACAAAAGAGCTCCTGCAGCACGGGTTGACACCAGGTGTGACGCTGGAGCACGAGAGCTTGTCCAGAGCTGGCACCGCGCTGCAATACCTGCGACCCGTAGGCAGGAACCCTGCCGAACGAGCCATTCTTGCAAAAGTAGCTACCTGCAGGACTCAGTTGTGATCTGTTGGTAGAAAAGAGACAATGTACTGGCATTTTCCAACACAAGAAAATGCTGTCCAGTGTATCTCAAGAACACAGTAGCTTTTATGAATTGTTTATTTTTATTTAAAATAATGAATTCCAAATATGCAGAGTGGTGTTTGGTCAGATGAGCCCGTTATCACTGACTTCGGTGATCTTCAGTCACCCAAATCCCGACAGAAACACCCAAGGAAACCAGAAATGCTGTGAAAATCCCCAGGAAAGCAATAGCTTTCACCTCCCTCCAACTTTTGCTTCCCTCTGTATCACATAGCTTGCTTTCTTACACCTACACTCTCCTTCCCTATTTTACAAGCCAAGACAGAAATTACAGCTGAAGTTGACAAGCTGAGTAAACATGACAATTTTTGAACCTGATGTTAGATTACAGTTGTCTGCTACTTGTTTTATTTGTACTGATGTATTAAGAGGAAATATTTTGATCTTTCAGCTGTCCTGTCATGTTCTATAACAGTAGGATTATGGCTTGCCATGAGAAAGAATGAGATGCTCAGATTTGACAAGTGATAACTATTCAGAGACTGTCACGGTAAGATTGATGATGCAATGCTATCTCAGGTAATCTGACAAGATGTAGTAGACAAGCTTCCATTCCTTCCCACCCCCCCCCCCCCCCCCTTATTGTTTCTAAGCAATATTTTTAAATATTGCTTAGAAACGTTTGGCATGCTTTCGGTAAAATTTGCATGGAAATTCAGCAACATATAAATTTTAAGTGCCCGATTTACTTTACAAAATACAGTTTAAGCACTCATATTATGCTTAAATGTTATTTTGTCTCTTAGATAAGAGATATGATCTGGGAGTCATTTTTATGAGGACTCTGGTATATACATAATTTCAGAAAACTAGCACACCAAACCTAGCCAGAAGAATGGATTAACTGCTGCAAAATGTATCTTAAAGACAGCAAATCGACACAATATATTCACTTGTTTCACAACTACGCAAACTCCCCTACTATAAACCAAAACAAGATGGAATCAGTAATACTTTGCAAAGAAATGCAACTATCAATTCTACATTAGAGCACGTTTTAAACCCATTCAGCACTGTTACCGCTGAGAGCCAGGTCCCCTGTTTGTACATAAAACAAGGCACTGACAAAGGCAATTGTGCAACACACGTTTGTTTTTTTTTTCTGGATAACTCCAAGTATTTTGACACAGCAGTGTTTCAAACTTACCAGCTATCGGTAACATAACATCTGGTCAATTTGGATTTAGTCCCGCTGCAGAAATCTTGCCTTTTTTGCCTGTTCGACACAGGAAGCCATTTGCTGCCAGTGTTTCCTAGTTGCTACGGAGGTTGCCACCGTCGTTACTGCCAGGATGGGACATCCTGACCTTACCGGTCAAAAAATCGGTGGAACGTGACTAGAGAGAGAACCATTTGTCACACATCTGCTCAATTTTCAACTCCTTGTTGATCTAGATACTGCACTGAAAGACTCCAGGGGCAGAGAAGGGATTCTCAGAGGGCGCAGTGTCCTCTAGGCTTTCTGCCCACTTTGCAGGGAAAAAAATAGCATCATACGAAGCTACAGTTCAGATTAAGAAAAAGCAGTCCACCACCACAGGGGGTGACAAATGCATTGCTTTGAAATGCAGGCAGAAAGGTTGAAGCCGAGACAAGCTGAGGTCAAATTGCTTTACACACTTTTCCCTTCTCACAATAAAGGGGAGGGATTAATGAATTCTACCCTTTTCCTGCAAAGCACTTATCAAAAACATGGCAGAACACAATGCAGAAATCTACCTGTTAATCTCTGCTGTGATCCCTAACCTTAATTTTCTCCTTAACAAATGTTAACTTTTTTTACTTTGGGGGGGGAGGGTGCAGAGGAGGGAGAAATACTTAATTACATTTTGTAGCATTTTTTTTTTTTCAATTGACTGCTATAAAAACAAGATAAGTCTCTTCATCTTCACCTAAATCTACGGTAGACCACTTAGCTGAAACCATCAATAGTATAGAAGAACAGACTGAGAGGTCGGGGAAAACCACCCCAGACCTCAACCATTATCAGTTAGAGTCACAAAAAATTTCTGTTGTGGGATTTATTTTTTTCCCCAAGGCCAAGACCTTGCCAACCCTCTTTATACTGTGTATTGTGTGAGCAGTCCTAGTAATTTTCAGGGGCACTGACAGCTGTAGAAGAATCCAATTTTCAATAGAAATTGGGCTGTCAACAGTTTTTAATGGGATTAAAATATTCATTAATAAGAAAAGGACGAAACAGCACATGCAAGATGTTATGGTTTTCCTATGTTCAATAATCATGCTTGAGAGCTGCTACCCTCCTCTTTTTGTTTTCCTCCTTTCAAACTAAGTTATCCTTTCTATTGGCATCTAACAACATTCCTGGAAACCTTTAAAAAGACCATTTAAGGGAAATACTGGCAATTAGATCAGAAATCTTTTAAGGAAATACATGTGAGAGTAAACAAGTAACATTACAGAAAATGAGAGGAATCTCAGTCCCATCAGTGGAAAGATTTTATTTTAAAGCATGCAGGTTGTGATGATACATACAGCTATTTCACACACATTTTTGGTTTGGTGACAATTTTAGAAATGTTTTCTGATTTCCATGAATTAACTAACTTAGACCATTCGATAATATTTCCCCAGTTGTCTTTTTCGTATTTAAGTGCAGTTACTATCTGCAAAATTAAAACTTTTCTGTGGGCTGATGCTGACACGTGCTATGATCTGCTCCTAAGGTGTGCCAGGAACTTGTACATCATTAACAAAATAGTGGCTACTACATTCCCAGACAGGATACCTTTTGCTTAGTTCAGAACGGTTTAGATCGTCTTTAAAAACTGGTTTTGTTTGTTAATGGCTTTAGGTGCTTGGCTTGGCTCTGTGACGTTTTCTTCTGCCACTACAGAATCACTGTACAGAATAGACTGTAGGTAGCTAATATATTTTATTGCAGCACGGAGTGTCTCTACTTTGCTGAGCCGTTTCTCCAAGTATTCCTTAGGTAGGTGATGCCTCAGTTTAGCATAACCTTCATTGACACATTTAACCCTCTGTCTTTCTCTCTCATTCCTCTTCCTGATGAAAGCCGGCCCATAGGAGTACTCACTTCTGCGGTAACTGGAATGGGGCACTTGGTAGTGAAAGGCACAGGGCTCACTGTAGAAGTTCTCTGCCACGAGATGCTCAGGAGCGAACGGAAGGAACGATAGATCTTCAGAGCAAGTGACCTGGTTTGGTGTTTCTGGGAACACGTGAAACGCGACCACTGGGTCAGCACAGAAAGGCCTAGCCAGCTGTATGCGCTGAGTCTCAGCACAGATGGACAACTTGTCCACGAGGTTACGGTAGCTTTTGCAATCCATCAGGTTCTGCATTTAACCTGGAAATGCACAATTACATAATAGTTTAAACTACTCATACTGAACAGTAGGAAAAACTCACCTGGACTTACCAACACTTGGCATTACTGGCATTTTCCAGAAGAGACTTTTAATGCGTTTGTGACATTTCAGAATGGTGACAGAAGATTGTTACATAGAGCAATGTCCCATTTCAAAATACAAGAGAATGCAAGTCAGCAACACTGATTAAAATAATTCACAATAGATTTTAAGAAAATAAAGCCACTAAAGGTTCCTAAAGGAAACAGCAAACAGTCTCCTTTCACCTCAGCTTTAGAAATTAATATAATCTACCTTTATGTACTCCACATAGGTCTAGCTTTCTCCAAACCCACCAAAACTTACATCTCTGCAGACAATAAACAAAGCAAGCCAACATCTGAGGCATTCTCTCCACCTCCTTCTCCTCCCTGAAAGAAATTAAATCAACAATTCCAGTAACAGATTCTCTCTCCATACCAAAAAGCCTTCAAGACAAATTATTTTTTGTCTTTATTCATTTGATGTCTCATCCACTACACTATCTTAACTAGATGGAAAACTTGTGCAGGGAATGTTTCTCAATCTTGTGTCTGTCAGGTATTACATCTATTCGACACAAAAAGTTTTACAGGAAGTTTAGAGGATGAATTTCTGCTAAACCTGATGTCTTTGGGTCCTCATGCTCCTTCTGCACTCCCCTGCAGATTAAACACAGATATGAAATACTAAATACAATCCTACTGATAGAGGATTATGAAATAATCAATTTATTAAAGGAAAGAATACATGTCCTAATAATATTGTTCAAATTTTAAATTATTTTCCTAAGAAGGGACTGCACACAGTTGTTGGGGTACTGCTAGAAACCTGTAACTCAGACTGGCCTACCAAAACCACATACCCTCTCTTCAGAGCAGCATTACAGCAGGCATAGCTACTCAAGTCACCCTTATATATTTATTAGAAAGATAATCTTGCAGTGTTTTATAGGAAGCTACATTATAGTGCCTTCCTAGTATCACTATTCAAACAGCTAAATATCAGCACAACTGTAATGACTGTTACCTAATAGCTACCTAAAAATAAATTTTAAATAACTAGTTAATTTTTAAAGAATTACTGTGATTCATCCTCATGAACTGCAAGCAATACTTGCCAACACAGAATCCACCCAAAAATGCTCTTACCCTCCACTTCCACATCTATACATTGCTGTCTAAACCACTTAGTTTATATTGCACCCTCTAAAATGGAAAGCACACCTGAACATTAAACTAGTTTACTAGCAACATCTAGATTCCACATTCACAAAAACCTTGCAAAGCTTCAAATGTTCCAAACACAGTTCCATAACATAAATAGGACCCCTTAATCCAAGGATATGGGGATATTTTAATGTTTTCTAATGACTTCATACCTGCCACATTTTATAGAGAGAATTTTTACTCCTTATGGACCTATCCTCACAACATATTCTGTCAAAATACCTCTGTATTTAGTGTTGTCTCTTTTTCTAATGCACATAGATCTCATAACAGAAACCCTATGAGTTAAGAATTCATTTAGAGCATACTGTTAGACAAGAGAGACACGCACATCTCAAACAGGTACTCCTGTAGGTAGGCTGAAAGCATGAACACACATCCATTTTACATTAATATATAGAAAATCACAGATGAATATATACACTCATTATAAAACAAAACTAGTAAACAGTCATTTTTCCCTTTTCTACTTACACAGGTTGGGTTATGGTCTAAAAAACTTTCTACCACTAACACTTCAAAACATCGCCTGAGGAAAAAAGTCTGTTACATAGCAAAAACCAAAACTTTACAGCAGAACATCACTAGAGAGCAAAAAACCAGAACAACCCCCCAAGAAGAGATACTTGCGGTATTTGTTGCTTAGTACTGACACTTCTGCTGCATAATAAGCATTACATAGAACAGTTACCTGCTGCCTTACTACCTGCACAAAGTGCAAAATGCAAGTGTTAAGATAATTTTCCTTTTAGACTAGAGACTCACCAATCTTCAGACGAAAGTAAAATCCAAGGAAACAAGATGTGCTATTTTAAGACTGATGAATAATACCTGAAAAAATCTGAATGATATTTAAAAAAAAAGTTAATGTTCCATTTTTCTTACACCTTATTTAATAAGAGATCATATTAAACATGATTCATTAAAGAGCTACGGAAGCACTGTTACTGAATAGCTGGTAGAGATGATTTACAAAAATATTGATATTCAGTGAAGATCTGTTGCTAGATAGAGCAATATGCAAGTCTCTTACCTGAATTATGTAGCTTGTTCCGCTGAGTCAATGACTGCTGCAATTTATAGTCAATTGACAACATGCAAAGTAGCTTACAGTTAGATCTGCTCACTTCTGGTTTGGCTTTTCCACCCACACCGCAGCTATGATGACACCAAAACTTGGCATTAAGGGCTAGAAATTTTAAAACTGTATTGAGCACAACCAGATTACCTGAACAAGTAATCAGGAATGTACTTTGTTGACTTCCTGTATGTATTGTGTTACAGTTTACTAAAGCAGTATTTTCATTTATTGGTTTTTCATACTTTAATGTCTAAATACAACAATCCCCTAGAATTTAGTTAAATATTTACCACCAAGGCATGAGCAAACTAATTTTCATAGCTTCATTTTAAACACAGAAAAGCAGCATTTATTTAGAAGAAACTTGTGACGGATTTGTCTCCAGATTAGAGGTGAGGACACACATTAGGTAGCTTAATACTCTCGAATTTAATCTTCATTATATCTGTAATTTTGGGAAATTCCCTTAGTGTTAAGAAGTATAATGCCATATAAAAGGTCTCTAATAGAGCATTTATGGAGGTAGACAAGATTTGAAAACAGTGAGCAATCAATACCCATACAAATGTTTTAAACTTTTGCTTAAACTTAGAAATGCAGTATGGAGTTATCAGTCTGTATAATATATATAGGTATATAGATATACATATATCAGTATATAGCTGTCCAATTGTACAGGTGCAAGGTAATAGGACACTAACTTCAAAACTCCCACATTTTACAGGATTACCTTGACACTTTACACTATCTCACTACTTGGTCCTTCTATTGATCAAAGTAAAACCACACAAAACCTCCAAAACCAAACTAGTTTAGCTTGAAACTTGCTGAAAACGCTGTAAGATTATAAACACTTGATGTACCACCAAGAGAGCTACATACATCCTGTCTTGTCTTCTTGGGACTGTCAGCCATCAAAGAAAGCATTCTGCTTCTGCTGCCCTTGTGTGGGGCCACAACAGTGCTATGTTCTGCATCCTCCTTCCCACACCAGCTTCCACACCAGAAAGGCAGCCAAGAGGTAGAACATCTACTAGAACTGGTAGACAATCATGTATTCAACAAACAAGTTATATTACTTTTCTTTAAGGGACCATAGGTATATCCCTTTAATAACCGATTATTGACTCATCAGGGTGGGATGTTGAACACAGTAACGGAACACAAATCTGGATTTTTATTTTTTGTCCTGTCAATCCATCTTGTGCTTTTTTTTTTTAAAAAAAAAGAAAGAATCCCATACTTGCACCGATTAGCAATCCATTATAATTCCCTCCAGATTAACTCCATTTTTGGAAGACTACACAGCTGACAAGAATAAAGCTCTGTATCTGCACAGGAGCTGCAGTCAGTGTAAGTTGTGTTATGGAGCAACTATGTTTCTACCCCTGACACGGCAGAGCTATGTGTACAGGTCCAGTTTATTTCCCATGCTACTCTGTCCCCCAGGCTGTGGACTAAGCCAGCCAAAACTGCACCCAGCAACATACAATGCTGTTCCATGTACCATTTCCTTCCACACTGGAACTGAAAACTGTGTAAAACAAGTACGTAAGCATAGCTAAATTTGAGTCAGGGATTAAAAATTTTTTTCAGTTAGCAATTTGATGAGCCTTTCTTTCCTTTATCTAAGCACAGAGCAAGTGCATATTTCTACTCCGAAGCACTCTCAGAGAAGTGCTTTTATAGGTGGAATTTACATGCAGGGTAATGAGGGAGAAAAATGATGACATACAGATAATGCACATCCATTTTTCAAAAATCAGTTTTTATCTTTAATAGTTGCATTCCAAAGGGGATATATGAAAGTTAGTCATCTAGCAACTGTATACCTCTTAAGAGATGAGTACAGAGTCACAGATAAAAAAATACACCTAACTCCCAAGATGACAGGTGCTAGAGAAAGTATGTGCCTTACACCATCAATCCAGACAAATGCAGAAAGATTTTTTGTAATAAATATTTCATCATATACTAACTCCTGAGACTTTACCCATGAAAAGAAAGGGAAAAGATTTTTTTCAGAGATATCATACACATACAATATATTAAGCTGTTAAAGCAAAATAGAACAAAATACCAACACTGTCTTGATATTCACTGCATTTGAGTTTATCTACATCACAGTACTTTAAGTATGCAGCTCAGAGTCAGTGTCCTTTTAAGTTTTGCCTTAAACCTGCAAACATCACTTGACATAGAAGCATCTTGAAAGTACGAGTGCAAGAAATCAAATGATGAATACAGCCAATCAGGATTCCATTCTGTGATATGAAAACTACACAGCAAGATTTAGATTTCCAGTACCTAGCATCAGTCAGCAGAAAATCCAAGTATATTTACAAAAGGTCTTTACATAAAGTGATTAGTGAGTTGTAATTACTGTGTTCTCAGGTACTTTTTAACCACATAAATAGTAGAGAGAAATATAGTTAAAAACCACCATAAAGTCACAACTGTAAATAAGGTACCACAGTGGCAACCCAAGACATCTCAGGGTTTGTTTTCTTTTTAGTTTTGTTAGTAAAAGCCATTTGAAAATGTAAAGATTGTAGCTTTTGGTTAACTAATCTTTTTAAATTCCTTCTACTCCAGTACATTCCTTCAAAGTTCAAATACTTTTTTCTTTCTTTTTTTTTTTTTAAATCAATAACAAACCATTCAAGAAAACCTTTCTGAATTGACAGGATCAGGAAGACATAAGTCAGCTCTTTCAATCAGTCCACTTTACTTCCCTGGAGTTATTTTACTGGGACAATTAACTCAGCACAACATGACGGTCAAAGACAGATTTGCGTTGCTCTTGGACCTGTAACTTCCAGCGCTGCTGGGCATACTCCACTTTGTTCAATACGTTAGCGCGGCTCCGAGAACGAGCCAGCACATCATGTGCATTTGCAAAAGGCTGGTGATCCTGGAATGGCAAAAAATCATTAGTTAGATCTCAACAATTCCACTGAGCAATTATATTCGTCTTTATTGTTGTTACATTACAAAGGATGCTGGCTGGGTGGGTTTGTTTTGTTTGAGGGTTTTTAAGGTAAACAAGCTGTTTCAACAAGGTGGTCAGTAATAATGACCAAGCAAGTTTTTGAATACTTAGAACTGTACTTCCATTTCTTATTCCAAGTAACTTCCACAGGTTTCCCAAACAGACCAAACTTCATTGTACTGTCAAAAATTATCTGTTGCCCGGAGACATCATGGTGAGCTGCAAGATCAGAACCACAGCCTTGCATCCGTTAGCGGCTGGTGGGGCAGAAGCCTAAACCAGACCCAGGTGCTGGGAGCCACCTGTTACTGTCGTGAATGTGCTTCACTTTAAAACTGAATTAGAGAGTCAGTTTTTGGCCATTTACCATCAGGCAGTTCAGTATGTTCACACACAGCTTCTATATAAAACCAACACACTCTGATGTTTACTAAACTAAACCTATTGTACTGAGCTGTCTAAAAGCACAGTGTCAATACAGCTGTTTAAGTGACAGAGCTCAACAATAACAGTGTTTGTTTAATATTTACTCTGTCTGTTTTCTAACAGTACCTGCAAAGCTTTATTTTCTTCTAGTAAATATAACCAAGTTATAAACAGTAAGAGTTGAAACTAAACTTCTTATTTGGTTATCCAACTGTTTTGGATAAAGTCATGTTGCTAAAGCTATGTCAGAAAGCAACATATATACAATGCATAATGAAAAAATGATTAATTATGTCCTGTATTAAATAACTGTCATTTTTGTATGCCTACACTTCATATTCCTTTTTTTTCCCCAAAAACATTTCTGAGGACATTTACATTAATGGATACTTTAGGACTGTGTAGAGTAGCTCTATGATAATTCTTAGTAGTACAGAGATTATCATTAATGATTCCCACTGAAGTGACGCCTAGAAGTCCCAAAGCCACACACAAGCCTCACCAAATGAGCATCAACAAATTCAGATTGGGGCAACAGAAGATGCAAGGCCTCTACTTTCTTGTTGTAGGGAGAAATCTAAGCAGTAAGCGATCTGCATAAATGTGATCACTAGCAAGACTGTATGGATCTTTAACACTTAAGCTGTACTTCATATATGAGCTTACCTCCATTCCTACCGTTTCTTCTCTGAGAAAATAATCTGTGTCTAGACCTGGGATAACTGAAGCAGTCCTCATCTTACTACTTTCTAGCACAGTGAAAACTGAAAGAGTGTCTTCACAAAAGTCATCACTTTCTTTTCTCCCTTCAGGAAAAGCATTTACACTGCCTGGCAGAAAAAGCTGCTCATCCCAAAGAGTTATTTAACAACTAACCATCCCAATCTTTATGTTAACTGAAGTACACAAGCACTCTGGTGAACTCACCCCAATGTCTTCATCACTTTGTATGAGCTGTGAATGTCCAAAGAGACGTCTCTTCAGTATAGGTTCCACCAGTGTAAGGTACACCATGTACAGAAGAAGTAGGCCCAAAATAGACAGGTAAATGATGATTGTAACCTACACAATGCAAGCACAGTTTATGCCAGAATTATGATACTGCCCCTACAATATCTCAGCAGGTAGCAAGGACCAAAAGAAGACTACATGCAAAGTTTGTGATGAGCCTGTTGATCTTTGGTATCAGATGACTTGAAAGCCAGGAACAGAGGAAAAAAACCACCAATCTACAACCTGGTATTAGAAGGGTTTGGAGCAGACAGACATTAGCTTGAAACAGTTTCTCTTAGTGAGGCCTTGCTAAAAGTCTTATGCTATCCCTCTTAAAACAACTTGGTGTTATATATCTCACCTCAACCTAGACAATTGTTCACTTTGGCCATTAAACTGGAGTGACAAATTTGGGGGTTCCTGCATGGTCTCCATTCTCAAGCATAGATCTGCATTCATACAGTTGCTAAGAAAAATGGAAAGGGAAAAAGAAATACCAAACTTCTACAGGACCAAAAAAAGGAGTTTGTGTTATAAGAGAAGAAAATACGCATTTGCACAATCTATTCCCCCCTCCCAGCCTAGGGCTCAATGGCTCTAATAAGATAAGAATGTGAAAAATACAGAAATCATCTGTTACAGCAAACATGGACAATTTTTCTCTTTTTAGCTTGCCAATGTACAAAGAAAACTTACAGTAAGCAAGCAAGACAGCTGAATAATGAGAGGCCCTCTAAAATAATAACAAAAATATGAAGTCCAAAGCTTGACAAAATGCCCTAGAAAGAATTTCAGCAAGGTGTAAAGCTTAATCTCAAAAGCAGAAACCTTCAAAAAAGGATCTCAAGCCCGCTCCTTCAGCTATAGCTTGATACTACTGTTACTACTCAAGATAACTTGTGAGCAACTATCATGAAAAAAAGTTAATTCTTAGGCTGCTTTAGAAAAGTTTTCCCTTTAAAAGTAATTATTCATCTAAAAGACAACAGACATATTTACTAATCAGTTGAAGTATTTAATATATGCCAACAGAATGACATTGTTTACCTTAATTGTGACAGAGCTTCTCTCTTCATATTTGCATTCACAACGTAAACAGTATGCTTCTACATCAGGTCCAGGGACGGGCATAGGCTCAACCACATGAAGACAATCACTGAAGACAGACAGAAACTGCTCGGTCAGTTCTGAACTGGTTTTAGCTTATCTGTTCCACTATGCACACAGACCCCAGCTGCATCAGCTAAGAAGCCACCTTTGCTTAAGTTCAGCTGTTCTAAATTATAGGCATCCAAGATTTTAAAATATAATAAACCACTACTCCACAATTATTTTACTTAAACAAGAAATTCAGCTATTGACAAGCTGTTAAACAAGTTTTAAGACCTTTCTACCTCAATACAATGTTTTCATTTTTCAGCGAAAGTATTAAAGCTGTTAGCGTAACAAGTTCAAGGATTTGAATCCCAGCACAAATGCATCATTTGACACTGACATCATGGATGAAAGTAAATTCCATCTACACACTTTATTCATCATACTCAAAAGAGCTTTATTCTACCCTTCCACTATCTGAAGGGAGATTAACCTCTCTTTGGTGTTCATTAACAGAAGTTCTTTTTTCTTGCCATCACAAGTTACAGGCACTGAAGAAAAAAAAAATAAAAAGGAAAAAAAGTCAGATGGGTTGTTTCTCTAAGCAACAAGATAGTGAATAAATAGCATTCAGTTTTCAGTACTAGACCTGGATGTGAAAGCATATTTTGACTTAAAATATTACAAAATATGTCAGTACCATGCCAAAAGCACAGCTGACAATCTTACGGGCACTCTATACCACAGCACTAAAATCCAGCTGCCATGGGACAACTACTTCCAGAAATAATTTACATAATTTTGGTCTTTTTGCTGACTCAGGTTCAGAGTGCACATCCCAGGGTCCCTGCAGAGCACTGACAGAACAAAAAAACATGTTTTGCCTTTATCCCAATTAACTTAATGTTAGCACAGTCAGAAGGAGGTAATGAAACAAAACGCCTGAAGTGACAGCAGCAGCCCAGGATTCAATACTGTGTTAGATGACAACACTGCAAACACATTTCCAGACACCAACTCATCTCTTCAGTTTTCTTTTTATTTCTTCTTCATAACTAAAACTATTGAGAGTCAAGTCACATCCTGTGGAGGGGAGTGGAAGCTTAGTTTTCTCATTTATTTGAAAGCAGAATTACATTCTCCTCTGTGGAGAAGGACAGCATTGAAGCTACAAAATAAAAAATGCATGCAAGTTATAATCTATGCAATTTCTGTTCATATGATCAGAAGTTTGCATCAATATGCTGCACAAGTATAGTAGAAAGCTTGTATGTAGCTTAAGTACAGTAGTACGTCTGTTACTGTGGATCAAATATATCAGCATTTTTTTTCCTCCAGTTCAGTGTTTCAAGTTGCTAGGAAGTGTAAAATCTATCAGAACCTTATAATTTTGATTATGTGTTTCCTTGGACTGTGATTCCATGGCAGTTTTAGAGGAAAACGTAAAAAATGCTGATCTTCCCACTCAAATGCCTCAATATTGCCATCTTCCCCCTTGCACCCATAGCAACAGCACCAAGGGAGCAGTTCTTCCAAGGCAAGCTAGGCTAGTCAGAAAGGCAACTTCTGCACAGATTTTCAGCACATTCAGCTTGTAGGCTCCCTCCCTCCATGTCTGTGACTACCACTGCAGTTCTCTGCACACCAATACTTTCGAAGTACAAAATACAAAACACCAACACTTTCCAAGTGGGTTATTTAACCCTGTAGGTGCTTGGGCATCACTATGCTTGCCTAGCGCGTTGTCCGTCAGGACAGGATTGCCTGCAGTAGTTCCAAATCCAAGTCCAGAAGGGTGAGTGCTTTTATGGGTGTCAAATCACCCCTGCCCATATTGATGTTAGCACTGTCTGCCAGTCTGAAACCAAAGAACAGACTGCTCCAAGTGAAAGAACCGAAGCATCTAAATACAAGTATGATTATCCACATTACAGGTTCAACATTAAAAATTAAACTTTCTTTTTATGTCTGGACAAGCCAGCAGTAAGTCCTCATTATACTTTACGTAATTCATAAAGCCACTAAAAACTGATCTGACTCTTGTCTCATGAGCGATCTAAACGCCTAAAGGATGGTGCACATCAGCCAGTTCTATTCAGTAACAAGTCGCTTGCACTGACGCAGAAGCCAAAGCATGGTACTAAATTTTATTGCATATAAACCAGCAATCAAGCCTTTCAGAAGCGGCGAGAAGACATCTCAAACAGAAGATCAAAGCCATAAAATGTTCCCAGATGGTCACTTAAGAAATTATCTCAACAAAACCAGATTTAAGATAGGAAAATAGACTCTTGAGATTCTGTATGCATCAGTATCTGTCACCACAAAACTAGTCAAGCCTTTAAAGATTTTTTTTTCTTCAATCAGTATCAATATTGATTTAAAGGGAAACAGGGTCTTTTCTGCTAGTAAGGCACACACTAAGCAGTACCCACTGAAAAAAATCCATTTTCATTTGCAGAGCGGTAATGAACAATAAAACCAGTAACACTGCTGCTCTGAAGTGTCTGCTGCAGCTGGAATTTTCCCAGTGTGTTTCATTGCTGCAACTTCACATTAGTCCTACTATGACAAATTAAGTTAATCATGTGGGACAACAATAGTAATTTCGATTGCACAGTACATTTTATGTTTATTAGTTTAGATTGAAATTTAGAGTGTTGTTTCTCACACTTCTCCTGTACATAATTTAATAAGTCAAGGCATAGCTCTACACATATCTGTATCGCTAATTTCATTCCTGTAATTATTTTTGTGGGCCTACTCAGGGGTATGACACTTTCATAATCAAGATGCCAACCTGCTGCTACATGCCAGACTGAAAAGTCTTGTATAAATTCTTTATGTAACTGAAGAAGTCAATACATCAAGAAGTATGTCACTTTTTACAGGCTGACCCAAGAATCTCTAAACATTTCCAAAATCAACGCAACTCTAAAACATGGTATTTTATTTTTATGATTCACAGAGACAATGATATGCAAGTTGAAATTACACAAGGGAGCTACGCTAATGTAACGAATCACTGTCATCACCCCTTCTTCCCCAACTCCTCATCCCTGGCCATGCACATCAGTCCTCAGCTTGGAGAGGAGTCTGACAAATGCCACAGATGGCCTAAACAATACAAAGGCATGTTGCTAGGGCACAGAGATCTTAAGACCTCTGTCTCTGGAAAAACACATTGTTAGATGGCTTGGGCAGTGTCATATAACTGCACTCTCTGGCTACAATTCTGAGGAACAGAAATCTCCAGAAACAATAGTATCTAGATGAAGGGACAGCATTCAAGAGTGGAGAAAGAGGGTCAACGCTCCCAAGTCCTAATTCCATGGCTGTGCTCCCTTACCTTTATGCCATTTCAAATCACTGAATTCAAATTATAACACCCTCTTCCCTTCTACTACTTCCCAGTCTAAATAAATATCTAACCATGCAAGCAAGCAAACCAAAACAGAAGACAGGGCAAAAACTATGGATTTCAAGCCTTGTCCCTTGCTAGAGCTGAATTCTGGAGTACTTTTACAAGAAAAGTTCCAGTAAGTTATGCAAGAGATGTAATTTCTCCTGGCACCACCGTAAGAGACTCACATATAATCACTATGGAACAACTCTTTAACCAGTAAGGCTCATTATAAATTTTTTTTGTCACACACACTCACCAGTCTTTCTGTGAAACATTTTTGTTGTAAATACGGCCTGAATGGTCTTTGTAAGGAGGGCAGATGCATTTACATCGGACATCCTCAGAATTCTGTAAAGTAAACAACATGCTTAGAACAAATTATCGTCAGTAACCATAACAGGATACAGAAAGCACTCTTCATGTAATACATGAAATATTTAACACAAACTACTTGCAAGTATCGTTGAATAGTCTTACTCAGGATTTCCGTCAAGTTTAAGAACAACCCTTCAAAATTACTAAGCAAGCACAGCAACGTGTCAAGTAACGCTATTGTTTTAGCTAGCAAACACATTCTTCACGACAGAAATCTGGAGTTTAAGCTCACTCTTCTTTTTAAGAAAAAAATACACATTCAGAAGTTGCTTATGTTGGTATACTCAACTACTCAACTTATGAGGACAGCTGTAGAAGAGATACAGGGATGAGCTTAAAACAAATGGAAGAATATTAACCCCAGAGGTTGGCAAAGAAACCTCTGTGGATAACTGTCCTCCCTGGCCACAAGAGAAACAACTCTGTAAGGAAACTAGAGGCATGAGTACAACCTACGGTCCTCTTGTCTTAAACAGCAGCGGGATATTGTGAGGTAAAGAAAAAAAAAAGTACAAAACTGGAATTCCAAATGAAGGCAAAGTAAATGTGGAAAAAATACAGAAACTTGTAAAAGCAAGTTTTAGATAAACAAATTAACATTTGCATAAGCAGCAACAGGCACTGCAAAAAGAAGTGAGGCAAATTAATCATTATGGACAGTGAAAAAGAAGTAGCACCCAAAATTAACATTTAGAACACTATTGGGAAAAATGGAATTTCAGAAAAAGATCACTTTGTGTAGTATATTAAAATACGATAATTCACTCCTTTCCCAAATTGCGCAAGAACAGAAAACCCTATGGAGAGAACAGAGATGGTCAGCAAGGAGTTATCAACGCAAGTCAGAGTAACTTATTTGAGCAAACAATAAGAGACAGAGAATAAACACAGCCTGTCTAAAGTTCAAGGCAATTTCTAACAGCATTACAAAAAAAAGTCTTAGGAAATATTGGTAATAAACTTCTACGCTATACAACCAGGTCAGAGTACCACTAAGTGGGTGTACGTCAGTCAGAAAACCTTGGCTGCACTACACACCAAGTCACTTCTGGTCTCACCATAGAAAAGTCAAATAGCTGATTACCATTAAAAGGGAGGAAATTCAGATACATGGGTACTTCGACAACAGGAAAGACTTTTACTATTAGGAGACACGATGTTCTCAACCAGTTACAGAGATGCTAAGATTATAATCCCAAATATTAACCCAGAAGGACCAACTGCAGGCTGCCTGCAGACACTCGACCCAGGTAAGGCAGCAGGAGCCGGCGGCGTCACACAGGACCAGCGAGAAGAGCTCGCTCAGGACGCGAGCCGGACACCGAAGACAAGGCGAGACACGGGCCAGACCCCGACCCCAGCCCAGGCAGCCACCAGAGCAGGAGCTTCATCTCCACCTTCTTCTCAGCAAATACGTGACTGCCACTTGTAGTTCGGTGTGACGGCGGCCCCGGGCACCACGTCAAAACTACATAAATTGCCACCAACTTAAGGCTGGGGCAGAAACCGGGGGCTGGCGCAGACAGCGGCGACGCCAGGCAAACGGGCCCTGC